AACCATAGCAGGCTGATTTGAGCTTACTGCCAAGTGCAGCGGTGTCCACATATTCTCTCTAGCTGTCACGTTAGGGTTTAAATCGGGCTGGTTTATTAACTTTTGTATACTTTCAATTTTTTCAAGACCTACTTTCAAGTACGTAGGCGAGTCTATCTTAATAAGTTCATAGAGCAGGGTATTACCATAAACATTAGTTTTATTAAAATCGACTCCTTCTATAGGTTCCTTGATGCTGACAGGCCAACCCACTAAATAATATAGCTGGGATAAAAGTGTAATTGGTAAGTCTTCAGGAGATCTATTTTCTAATGCTAGAATATGTACTCCATCGGTATCATGTAACATTTTTTGTGTAAAGTTAAGTCGCATACTTATCTCTTCGAGAATATAAGGATTCCTTCCAATTTGAGCTTGTACCCAAACCTTATTTAATAATGAATTATCTAATAAGTTTACTGTGCTACCTCCTTGCTCTATACTAGCAATAGCTTGAATAAACAAATATTCATTACCCTCTTTAGCAATATTTTCAAGTAAAGTTTGTTTATGCAATTCAAATTTTTTGTGGTCATATTTTCTTGCATATAATTCTTGCGCCGTTGCTTTTATGCCGTACCGTAAAGAAGCTTCGCAGATTAACTCTATTTCCCTATCTAGTACGCTACTGGTTAGTTTTCCTCCTTCATTGATCAGTAGCGTCACAAGCTCATACTTACCAGTAATTCTGGCGGAATAATAAGCAACATCCAATACATTGTGTTGTTGGCTATTCACAACTTTTAGATTGTCTTTGTTTTGTTTTATTAAAGCTTTTATTAAACTTGAATAGCTTGCAGCATTTTCATTGTTTAGTAAATAATGTAACAATGTGTCGTTTGTAAGGGAAGATATTTCAAAGTTCTGTAGAACGTTCTTTCTTACCAAAATAGTTGCTATTTCAGATAAAATTCTTTTGTCTAGTAATATTTTACTAAAGTTTTTAATTAAGTTTTAATAAAGTTTCATCCTGCTTAATTAGTTCTAATTCTTGTGCAGTTGCTTTGTCCAAACTTTTTTCAACAGTCCTGACTGCACTTACTATCTCAACAGTATCTTTATTTGCTTGAGGACTGGATATTAGCTCTAATAAAAACATTATAACATTTTTTGGATCTAACGCAATTATCCCATGTGTTTCATTTACTTGACTTTGAAAGTTTGTTGGTTTCTTTTGAGATAAGGTTTCTTCGATAGCTGTGGTAGATACTTTAATAGTCGATATTTTAATGCCTGCTTTGGCTGTTTTTTGAAATAAAGCTAACGTCTCCAAGTTGAAAGCGGATTAACTAATATTATTTTTTTGTCCTTAAATAATTCAATATTTATTTCATTATTATGACCTTTATCTCTAAGCATTACTGCCAATTGTTCTTCACTCAGATTACGTAGTTTCCATATTTTTACAAACCTTAGATTTTCCACTAAAATGCCCCGTACGAAAATTTCCCATGGGAATTTAAGAAAAAAAACCCATGGAAAAACCATGGGTATTTGGAACACGTTCCCATGAAAAAACCATGAGTTTTCCATGAAAAAACCATGAGTTTTCCATGGAAAAACCATGAGTTTTCCATGGAAAAACCATGAGTTTTCCATGGAAAAACTATGAGTTTTCCATGGAAAAACCATGAGTTTTCCATGGAAAAACCATGAGTTTTCCATGGAAAAAACATGAGTTTTCCATGGAAAAACCATGAGTTTTCCATGGAAAAAACATGAGTTTTCCATGGAAAAACCATGAGTTTTCCATGGAAAAACCATGAGTTTTCCATGGAAAACACATGAATTTCCCATGAAAAATCTTTAAGTTTTTCATGGAAAAGTGTTCCAAATACCATGGATATTCAATGATTTTCCATCCATGGAAAAACCATGGAATTTCCATAGGTATTAGGAACACCTTTCCAATGAAAACTTATGGATTTTTCATGGTAAAAAAGCATGATTTGTTTTCAAGTTTTTTATCTAATGTTATTTGAATTGTCATATTAAATCATAAAAGCAAATTTTATCCCACTATTATTGAGTTCTCTTAATCTATGAGATCGCTTTCTTCAAATAAAATCAATAAACAAAATAAAATTTAAATCTTGTTAAATCCTACAAATCTTTGAAAAATAATAGCTATAATGCACCTAAAACATCAAAACTTGACTTCCACACAATATTTAATGCATGCATATGTATAACATACTGAAAATAAATAAAACAAAAAATTACAAGTAATATAATACTATAAGTGATATACATAGTGATAAACAATTGAAATTTATCAAGAAAACAATTTTTACAAAAAATAAAACAATTTACATGTTTATTATTTTATATTAACTATTTGATAAAAATAGTATATATAAATTTGATAATAACTTCAAGTTTTAACAAGTTAAAAAGAACCATCAATACAACATATTTAATTCAAAAAAACATCAAGCCCATTTATAAATGCGTCTGTACTGTATCTGTAGAAACAGGTAGATGTTAAACAAAGTACCATTCACATATTAATATTCATTTTTTTTCACCCTAGTTAGTCTCATTCTCCATTTCACCAATCTAGACAATACATCATACAACTATTATATACATTCTAACTAGTTTTCTTTATTTACTAATTCATTTTACTTATAATTATTATCTATTATAACTTACTTTATAATTAGGCATTATACACAATTATGAATGTTGCCAAATGTTAGGTATATAGAAAAAAGTAGCAATGAATATATCATTATTTATAAATGCAAATTATTAGATTGTTACCTCTTTTTTGCCTAAGCTATCTGCATTATGTACAACATCGTTTATATTTCCAGTCAAACATTCCTGCCTATAATGTAACTTTATTAAAATGATTTATTCAAACTAATACATATATAAATGTTACCTGCATGTTAGAAACATTTATATAGAACAAGGCAGCAACAAATATTATATTATATATTTACTTTTGTAATTAAAAAAAAAACTTACTTCTTCTTCTGAGCTATCTGCATGATGTACAACATCATTTACAAACCTGTTTTCTTCACGTCCTTCCATTTTTTAATATATTATAAAGCACAGGACTTGTTAATGAACGGCTAAATAAATAAATTAAAAATTTATATTTAAATGAAATGATAAGGTTAAAATGAAAAGATTTATACACATATATAAATTTTACCTGCATGTTAGTAACATTTATATAGAATAAGGCAGCAACAAATATAGTATAACTTATAAATTGTAATTTTAAGTAAAAACTTACTTCTTTGTCTGAGCTGTCTGCATGATGTACAACATTATTTATATTGTCAGTCAAACTTACCTGCTTATAATGCAGTAATTTAAATAAAATGATAAAGTTAAAATAAAAGAACTTACGCACATACCATTAAATTCAAAAATTTATTATATTTTTACTTCACTATTTAAAACATAACAAATATGTAATTTATAAAGTATAGTAATGTAAAAGCATAGTAAATATCAAAGTGTGTGCAAAAATTAATTTATTTTAACTAAAGACGAGCACTTTACATCAGTTAAATATAAACAAATAAAAATAATTGTATTATAATAAATAATAGTGTATTATTTATAAACATTGCTTTTATATGCTTATATTTAACTATGAAGTAAAATCTTGTGCATTAAGTAAATTCCCTTACTGATACTTATAAAATATTACAACAGTTTTCCTTCTCCAACTAAGTGGTTCTTGGAACATCCTTACAAGTTGAATCCCAAAGATTACGTTTATATCTTTTCTGGTTTAAACTCAATTCACCATTTTATTTTGACAGCTTTTGAACTATTTTTAAAAATATTAAATGCATATAAAAACTGACGATGTTATAAACAATATAAACGATGAACAACATTATTTATATTGCCAGTCAAACCTGTTGGCTTATAATGTAGTAATTTAAATGAAATAATAAAGTAAATATAAAAGAATTTATAAACATTATTTATATTACATTATTTACATATTCTAATAATTCTAAAGAAAAAACTACAACAAAAAGACAAAAACAACTTAACAGAACTAAAATTGAATAGAACATTTATCATAAAAAAATGTTTTTTAATACTTAATGAACATTTACGATACAATAAACTTCAAGCATTTTTATGTAATCTAAGGCTATTATAAAAAAAAAATAAAAAAGATCATACTAGTTATCTTTTGTACATTAGTTATCTAATCTTATTATCTTAGTTATCTAATCTTATCTAATATACTGCTTGTATATTAATATTTTAAATAAGTTTCTTTAATACGTTCGATAAATTTTATAATAATTATACTAGTTTGAATGTACATTAAATTACACTATGTACATTAATACACTAGTTATTTAATGTAGATTAAAACTAAACATTTATTTGTTGTAAACCAAATAATAATTATTTGGCAAATAATTTGCCAAGTAGGCATTAAAATTCAAACTGGTTTACTTGACGTACTTGCTATACTATTGCAAGTTATGCAAAGTAAGCAAAGCTACTGGAAACAGTTAAAATAAGTATATGCATAAATGATATATAATAAAATATAATTAAAAATAATCCCTTTTATAATGCATTATAATATGATAAATATATCTAGTTGTTTATGTCTGTATGTTTAGTTAAAACATATAAATGTATTGCATTATAAAAAACATATAATTCATAGCCTTATTAAACACAGAAAAACAGAAGAATGCAGTAAGTATTGTTTTCTAATTTAAAAATAATCATAACTCTACGAGCTATGACGCCATCTTTAAAAGCGCATTTGTAACAACCATGGCGCAGCTTAAGCTATGAAAAAAAAACATGGTTCACCCATGGAAATTCCATAGGATTTCAATTTTCATGAAATTTACCCATGGAAATTCCATGGAATTCCCGTTTTTCATGGGAAAACCATGGTTTACTCATGGAATTCCATGGGTTTTCCATGGAATATTTCCGTAAGGGGCGGCAAATAGCATTTTCTCCTCGTTTGAATTTTTGAAAATCTATAGATGATATAAATTCTTCAGCTAACTGTTCTGGAGAGTAATTAAATTTGTTGCCAAAACTATTTTTATCTAACATCTTAAGCGTAGAAACGGTCTTCCACGCAACTTTACTAATTTGTTTATCATGGTCCGCTAACTGTCTTCTTAATAATTCATCTTCTACTGTATCCATGTATAAGCTTTTTATCGAATCTATGAAGTTTTCAACTCGTTTTTCTTCATAATATAAACTCATTGCTGGATAAAATTTCTTTAATATTGCACTATGTGTTACAAGCAAAACAGAATTTAATAACTCTTAAACTTTTGTAATTCTATGATAGATTTCTATAATGCAACCTTGAGGGAGGGCGATTGGCAGTTTTAATTCTAATAAATCATTCGCAGTAAATCCTATTTCTTCAAGTTTTTTATATCTTTCATTTTGTTCATAAAGTTCTTTTAACCATTCTGATATAATCGTTTCTGGCTTAAATACCGTCTCAGTAAGCAGTTTTATTATTTTACTATCTACAGGCATATCCATTTGGGGAAAGAAAAACAAGATATTCAAAATATCAGAGTAAAGTTTACCTTTACCACTGTTAAGCATCTTAAAGCCTAACCTGCCTTTACAAAAACTGATGTCGTTATCAACACTCATAAGTTTAATACTTAATATTTGATCACTATCATTTTTTATAAATCTTGCAATATAGTTATCAGGCTTTGCATCACCACTACCTGTTAGTAGCGAGGAAATAAACAACGCTGAAAAAACCTCTAAGTCAATGAAATTAACATAAGAAGGCTGTTTTAATAGGTCATGCAGATTTTGCCCAGTAATAGTTGGTGACGCTTGGTAATATGCCACTTGCCCATAATTATCCATACTTCTGCCTACCAACTTTATTAATCTAGTAGGTATGGATATATCATCTAGCAATATTTTATTTAAGCTATTTACAGCGAATTCAATACCAGGAGCATATGGATAATATTTATAATGGACATTACCATATGCTATCACAGGATGCTTACCAAAAGTCACTTCAGTTTTAGGTGGTTTAATAGATAATTTTTTATATAAAGTACACTGTGCATTGTTATATCCCCACAAATATTTATATGACATTCCTTCTATCATTACTTCAACAAGATCATGGGTTGGCTCGAATGAACAGACTCTAGGAATAGGATGCTTTGCTTCAACTATTTGGGCTATTTTGAGTATATACTTTGTTTCATCAATATCCCAACTTCTATCTCTAAATTCAGGATTTTTATTTTTATAATCATCCCCATATTTTTCACAGAAGGTGATAATATACTGGTAGTAATATTGTATTAATGCTGATAGCTGTGCTAATGCTTTGATTGCACTTAATATCTCATTCTTTAATGTCACATTTTCTTGATTCGCGTTATCTAGTTTCTTCAACATATGTTCGACAGCATTAACATTATATATATTAACTTCACTAGAGCTCAGCTTTATTTTTTTTAAAGTATCTAAACTATGAAGTATTGCAAGTACGTGTTTGTGACTGTCTTTGCAGATGTTTTTGCTTTCTCCTGCGTTCTTTTTTAACGTCTTTAGGAGCTGACTTAAGCTACTAACGGTTTTTTGTGTTAAATCTTCTGCTTCTTTAATTTTCAACTTAATTGGTGCAAACATCTGATGATCAGGCGTGATATTCTTACTAGCACTTTTTACTGAAGTAGTTCGATCTGATACCTTTTTTGATCCTACTATACCATATTTATTTGGTATTAATGCTTCTAGATCAAGAAGCAGACATGCTACATTAAACTCTTGAGCTTTCAGTTTGAATGGTAGGTTCAATGCTAATATTACTTGGATCTCATCAATAAAGCTAGTTGGTAATAATTTTTGTAAAGCTTCCATGAGTCCTTCTCGGAGATCAGAATATTTAAGTAATTTCTCTTTAACATTACTTATATATGTTTCAAGATCTATAACATCTTTAAGTTTTTCTAACTTCAACTTATCTTCGTCACTTAATTGAACTGCTTGAGGAATTACCCACTCTAATTCTTTTTGAGCTTGAGAAAAATTACCTGCTTTACAATGTAAGTCAGCAAGTAGTAAATGTGGTTCTAGCAAATGACTATGCTTTGCTATTAACATTGTTAATAGTTTATAACCTTCAATATCTTGTCCAAGTTTTAATAGTAGCAAAGCTTGTATATAAGATTTAATTGGTGCTAATTTATCATCATGAGCAAGACTCATACTGCCTAACTCTCTGCTAATCTCTAGAAATTTGTCTTCGTTACTGGCTAAATGCTTAAATGAAGATACGATAACGAGTAATTTTAGTATTTTGACAATTTTTTTTGCTGTCTTTACGTTCTCAGAAAGAAACAACTTATCTAAAAGTTCAATTGACTCATTGTATAAAGATTTTTTAAGAAGTTCGTTTTTATTATCTTTATTATCTTTAGCAATAAGCTCGCTTATATTTTTCCCATCTCTTTTAGCATGCAGTAACTCTTCTATTTTTTTATAAGAATATTCTAGGTTATTCAATGCATCGCTTATATCGATGCTGGGGTGCTTGAGTAATACTTTAACTACTTCTAAATTTCCACCATAGCCTGCTCTCAAAATATTATGATTAACTATTATTAGTCCTGAATTTTTAAAATACCTGCTAGTTGTCATATCATCCCTATTTACTGCGATAGTAAGAGGTGCAGGGATAGCCTTAAAAGAAATATTAGGGTTAGCTCCCCTGTCGATCAATAATTCAACTATTTCTGGATTTACACCTAATACCGCAAAATGTAGTGGTGTTGCATTTTTTCTTCGTCCAGACCTAGACAAAAATTCTTCGCCATCTGGGTTATAGCCTCGATCCAAAAATAACTCCACTATCTCTTTTTTGTCAAGTAAAGCTGCAAAACATATAGGCGAGATGTTTACCGAATTTTTTACATTTAGACTACTGCCTTGAGATAATAAATATTTTACCTGAACTTTATGACCATAAGCTGCAGCTACATGCAAAGCTGACCACCCTCTTTTATAACAACCAGGAGAAAACAAAGTTTCACGTAGAGAACAAGTATCTATTTGATGGTCTAGTTGTTTACTAATGTCTAGTAAAAATAATACATATTTAAGTGCTGTTGTTTGAGAGAAAGTAGTAATATGTTGTTTTTGAAATTTTTTTTTATTTGTTGACTCGGACAATATTTTTATAAGTTCCTCGTGCCTGACATATTCTGCCCACAATAATGCTGTATCACCATAATTGTTTGTTAAACTTATATTAACTTATTTAGCAAGCAAATTTTCAACAACATGTATGTTTCTTTTCCATACTGCCCATATTAATACGGCATTGCCTAATTCATCTTGTGTATTTACATTTGCTCCATATTCAATTAAAAGTAAAGCAGCCTCTGTATTGCCTTCTTTTACTGCGTTTATCAAATCGTGGTTGTTTATAACCGCTCGATTATTCAAAAGTAGCTGAATTATATCATGCCCGAATTTTTGATTGAGTACTGCATAACTCAAAGCGGTATTGCCTAATTCATCTTGTGCATTTACATTTGCTCCATTTTTAATAAAAAGTAAAGCAGCCTCTGTATTACCTTCTTTAATTACATTTATTAGGGCTTGATTGTTAATAACTGCTTGATTATTCAGAAGTAACTGAATTATATCATTTCCGAACTTTTTATTGAAGGCTGCATAACTAATAGGGGAATTGCCAAATTCATCTTGTTTATTTACATTTGCTCCTTTATCAATTAGTGCTTTTAGAACTTCAACGTTTGCATTTTTTGAAGCATAATGCATGGGAGTTACGCCCTTATTGCTCACTGCATTTACATCAGCGTTGTTATTAATTAACAATAATATTGTCTCATTAAAGCCCCGAGCTGCTGCGTAATGTAATGATGTATAGGAACTTGAATCACCTACATTTACGTCTGCTTTTTTACTAATTAATTCAATAACAGTTTTAATTTGTCCATGTCCAGATGCTATCATCAGGACTGTACCGCCATTACGGTTTATAACCTCATTTATGCCTATTCCTTTTTCTATAAGCATAAATAATAACTCGGTATATCCACGACGCGCTGCTATAGCAGCTGGAGTCTCATGATCAGCAGATGAACTTCTAATATCTGCCCCTTTACTGATTAATAATTTAGCAGCCTCAATTTCATTATTATCTACTGCATAATGTAGAGCAGTCTTTTTATCGTAGTCTGTTTCTTTTTTATTGACATCTGTTCCTTCGTCTAAAAATTTTAAGATAGCTTCAATATTTCCAAACTTTGCAGCTTCAAACGTATCTTTAGGCGATGGTGTTTTTTGACTAGATTTAATAGTTAATGCACTTATTAGAGGTGTGGTTGTATGCCGATCGAGATATTTTAAAACATTTGTGTTAAATTGTAATGGTTCACTTTTTTTTTTTTTAGCCTCAGGTACTTCAGACTTTAAGCTTGTAACTTTCACAGACTTGCTCTCTTGCTTTTCTTGAAAAAATAAAACTGCTGTAATTTTGTTTATTTGTTTTAGATTATGTTTTTCATTGCTTAATTTATCGATAGTATTTATTTGCTGGGTAATGGGTGGCTCTTCTAAATGTTGCTCTTTGTTATTTTTTTCTTCTGTTGTGACCTCTTTAAAACCTTCATCGTTTGCTTGATAAGTTGTTATAGCTTCATTAATACTTCTAGGCTGCAGGGGTGGCTCTTTCGCCACTGCTTGATATAAGGCAAGATCTCTGCTATACAAATCAATACTATGAGCTTTTAATATTCTATCAGTTACTACTTCACTGATCCAGTTAGTACCAGATATTACTTGAGCATTTTTGCTCTAAAACGGGTTTTTTAGTTAAATCTTGTGTTACCAACTTAGTGTTATTAATATCAATCTTTTTTATGGTATTGACGATGAGCTTATCTGTCATTAAGACTTTTTGAAACTCACTAACAACGCTTAAATTAGCACCATAATCTATAAGCAAGTCAGCTGCTTTATAATATAAATTTTTATTTGCAACATCTTTCTCTAAACCAAAATGTTGGTTACTAATTAATTCTATATCTTTTATTTTTTCGTAAACAAGTTGCAACGGTGTTTTTTTCGTACTATCTATGTCAAGCTCCTGATTTACATTTACGCCACATTTAAGCAATAAAGTTAATAATTTAATGTCCGCTTTTTCAGATGCTAAATGAAGAAAAGTTTTTTCACCTCGGACATTATTGGAAGGAATCTTAGCTACAACATCAGAAAGGTTTCTATTTATTGTTTCATTGCCAACACGAAACGTTACAGGATGATTATTAATCCATTGCTTTATAAACGCCAATTCATTATAATTATTTGGTTGAATATCTAGCAATAAACCTCTGATGAACGAAATCTTCTCTTTTTTAGTTTGCAATAGTCTTTTATGAAGGTTATAGTTCTTAACTAAAACTTTATCGAATCCTAACTCCACTAATCTAAAATAATCTTTATTAATTTCTTCACTTTTGAGTAAAATTGTAGTATTATTTTTTTCTTCGTTTATAATATAGCTGTGCGTAACTATACCCTTTAAAATAATAGTACCATCAAGACAACCTAGTATATAACCTATATGATGCTCTTGTTGACTTGTGCTTGCACCCCTAGCTTGATAATTATTATTTTGAAAACTAATCTTATAACCGTATCCATTTTCAGAATCAGACATAAAAACCAAAATTAGTTCTAGTTCTCCAGTTAAAATAATATCAGGGATTATTGCTTTGATAGTTTCTTGCAATATTTCTACCTCTGTACCTAGAGATTCTATTTTGGTAGAGTGTATATCTACAATTTTCTGCTCTAAATATCTGCTTACAGCTTGGCTTAGCAAAATACGAACTTTATCTTCTTGTAATTGCATTGTTGCAAATTGAGACATTATATTCTATGTTATAAACATATTATATTACCATGTTAATTTACTTCAGACCTTTTTTATACCCCCCATGCTTTATTTAAGAATTGCAACACCTCAGAACATGGCCCCCACAGGAATTTTTGTTGCTTCAGAAATAAAATATACAGGCATTATGCAAACTCTAAACTTTATGCATGTTCGTACTTTAACCAAATGAGAATGTTTTGC